CACACACACACACACACACACACACACACACACACATTCACACACACTAAAGAGGTTGGGTAGTTTTGGAGGTCATATAGACTTATCTCCAAACTCATCAAGTTGTATAAGTTAAAATATAAAGCATTTTATATGCCAATCTTACTTCAATAAAGAGGCTTATCTGTTTATTCATTTATGGTCAACTGATTTTAGACAAGACTGCCACGACAATTTAATAAGAAAAGAATACTTCCAAATATGGTGCTATCATATGTGATATGAATATCAACCCACCTATGCAAGAGGATGAATTGGATCTTTACTTCAAGCCATATTCAAACACTAATTTGAAATGGACTATGGACCTATATTAAAGCGCTGAAACTATAAACCTCATTAAAAAAACATAGGACTAAGTTATGGCCCTTGATAATCAGTGATTTCTTAACAACAAAAGTACGGCAATAAAAGAAAAAATAATTAACTAAGTTATGTCAAAATTAAAAAGTTTTGTATCACAAATGATGCCTCCATAACAGTAAAAAGACAACCCATGAAATGGGAGAAAATATTTGCAAATCACCCACCTGATAAGGGCTTTTGTTAATCTATTTTTTGTTATAGGGGCTTATTCTGTTAGAAATATTGGGGTGCTGCAGGAAATCTTGCAAATGTTCAAAAGTTATTCGGCCAGGCAAACTCTACTTCTGCAGAAGGGTGTGCTATTGAACAAAGTCTGGAAAGAAAGCACACCTGGGTGGACAGTCCAGCTAGCTGCTTGCTCTGATAGGAGGGGCTCTGGGTTACAATCTACACAATTGGCTAATTTTAAAATTGGGGAGGCTGCAGGAAGCACTAAAGTTAAGGCTATGATTGGATCTTACCCCGATTTGACATTTAAGTCTAAGTATTATATTCTGAAAACAGACCACCAGACTTTCTATTTCCTCCAAGCACCCCCCCCACACTCTTTTTTTTTAATACCTTTTGGTCTCATTGACATTTTTTTGTTCTTCTAACCTTTCATATTGTCATTCTTCCTAGCCATAGTAACTTTCTGAAGTGGAAAATGCTGATGGTAATGAGTTCTCCCCTTTTTAGCAGTTCAGATAGCCGTCCTGGTGATCAGGGGCACTTGTTAAGGTTCTTTCCAGCTCAGTTGAGGCTTGTCTTCTTTCCAGGTTTAAAGTCAAGTTGACAGGTGGGAAGTGATGAAATGTAAACTCCAGAGGAGGAGTCTGAGCAGCAGGTCATAATGATCATACCAGCAAAATAAGAGAAAGAAAGAAACACAGAGAGGTCTTACATTGACTCAGAACAAACTTGTGACTCTGACAGAGCTTTTGTGATATTTATCAGACACTCCTGTGTAAAAATCTTCCCTTTATAACCTCCCAACTTTACCTACTTTGGGGAGGACTGATCTAAATGAACGTCTCAAGTTACGTAAGAGAACCACTGTCTTTTAAAAGAAAAGACATGTATGGCTGTGCTTTGGTTGTACTCTCCTGCCAGGTGTTTAAAATCAAGTTGGTCAACAGTGACCTTTTCCTATGTGTTGTAAGAGCCAGCTGATATCTGTTGGCTATCACTCTTGGGAATTGTGAGAAGCCTCTTGGCTCCTTCCACCGCCTTCTATCAGTTGTACCATCTGCCAGGATGGGTCGGAATCTTGCTGACTACATATAACTTCCCTTGGAAGCATCAGGGACATTTCCTTCTCCCATGACCCTGCTCTTTGCAGAATGTGCACTGTTTGGCTTCTGTTGCCTAGGATACTTATGATCCATCTGATCAGGAGGTCAGGGGAATCATGGGATATGCAAGCCCAGAGAAAGATCATACTATTCCCTCAATCTTGGTTGACCTTAGAGAGCACGGGCCAAAATATTGCTGCTTTTTCCTTGGCCCTTTTTCTTCCTTGTCTTTGGTCTCCAAATTTTGGACAGCCAGCAGGTAAGATTCACCAGTATTGAAGTCGAACTACTACTGGGTTTTAACTTCAATGTTTATAATTTTATAGTTACCCCTTCCATTTAATTGGGGTCAATATTAGCACCAGAAGTAAGATTTATATCCTGTCTGTCCTATAGGTGAAGGCTTATTATCTCAAATTAAATCAAGTTGTTCTCTTAGAGGGAGTACTTTTACAAAACACTAACAGGCAACAGTTACAAAGTCTTACAGGAAAGTATAAAATGAAGTTAACAAGAGCAAAAACATATTCAGTTTGTATAATAGCTACAAACCAAGAAACATGATTTCTATAACATTGCTAATATATCTTTGTTATCTATTTTGCCTCCACAAAGACCCATAAATTTATCAACTCAATCACATACAAAATCCTTTATAAATTTTACTTTCTTTTGAAACTCTTTTACAACCTTAAATACATTTTATAATTCATCCAAACCTTTACTTAAGTTTTAAGTTTTGTACTATGTCTCCTATTTTTTTATTGAGATCACAGGAATCTTTGCAACAAAAATCTATCCTTTGAGCATAACTTTAAATAGCCTTAAGTCTATCCTACTTTGGTGCCATCCTAACATGCAATAAGGTGAGAGGCAGATCCTCAGAGGTGAGGAAAGGCTCTTGATTAATCTTAGGTAAAGTGTTTTTGTTCTGAAGTTGATCTTTGCCTCTTTCGTAAATGTCATTTTACAAAATTTTCATATATTGTTTCCTGAGTCTATGAGAGTATAAGTTTATATAATACATTACATGTGAAAAATGAATCAAATAAAAGCAAAGAGAGCTTTTAATATTCCTTTTTTGAAAAAAGTGGCAAAATGTTTTTATGTTCCACATTATCAACCTTTAAGTAAATCAGGCTTTTCTGATTACCTTTCAAAAATATATTTACATTACCATCCCAGTGTACATAGTAGCACAAGATCTTTATATGTTGCTTATGAATGACAGGTTTTTTTATGCAATTACAAAATGTTAATGACATAAATAAATTCCCAACTTAATTTGTTATTTTTATGTAAGTCTGAAAGAGACTATCACTACACACAGCTTTAGTTTGAAGAACATCAGTTTGATAAATTGCTCTCCTAAGTTTCATATTTTAAAAGACTGTTCATTTGGAGATAATGAATACATCTCACAGTTACATTGATGTCCTGATATTAACTAAGTTTAACTTTCAAAAGAAATTAGAATCCATTATTTAAGGTAACTATAATCAGAGGCCTGCACATATTAGCAACACTGACAAAAATCAAAGTATAACTTTAAATCTCTTACATGGTTAGGAACCAGTGTTGATGATCAGAAATAGACTTAGTCAAAGCAAATGGATATAAGCCAGGTCTTCATATGACAGTGTGGCCTTTCTATGTCAGATACAATGTATAAAAGAGAGTACTTATTAATTGCTTTGCCAATAAACTTACATAGACTTTAATTTTACACAATTTTACATTAACACTTAGACAAGGCTCAGACAAACAGTTCTCAGATGTATCTGTATCTGCTCACACATATTTAGGATATCAACTATATTGTAATAACCTAAAATAACAGTTGTTTATTTAACCAGTTACAAAGCAATCACTTGAAAAACTTTAAAACAGGTATAAATGCTAATGCATTTAAGACTTAATTTCCCTAAATAATAAAACCTAACAGATAAAAGAAATTATTTTAATAGATAAGAGCAGATTGATGTTTTAAGGAGCCCTTGTTTCTAAACAGAGAATTAGCACATTAAAAGTAAACTTATTAAAAAAATAAAACCTTGAATAACTTTAGCTGATTGTGCTGATTGCAGCCAACTTAATCACATACATGAACACTTTGACATTGACCTTCCATAAACCTTTTGGAACTTCAACATTCTACAACTTTTTTACAGCCCTACTCTTGCCCTCTTATATCTTGGACTTTAGCATAGGAGTATTCTTTACCATTCCTTCTGATTTTCCATACTAAAATATATTTCCATAAATATAACTTTTTTATATCTGTTTCTAGTTTCAAATCTTTTATTAAATTTATATTCTGAAACAATCCTTAGAAAATTCCTGAGTTTAAACAAATTTCTCCTTTAAAATAAGGTGAAATACTTTGTTTCACAGTACTTAAAACACAACTGAAACACTTTTACTCTTTGCCTAAAGAATTATACCTATTCAAATTTTAACTCTTAGAAACCTTACTTTCAGTGAAAACCCAGAAACAATGCAGTCTTAAACTGTTATCCCATTTACACACAACTTATAAAAACACATCTAATAGACCCAATATATTGTCTTATAGCTTTCAAGAAGCCAAGAATACTTGAATTTATATTTAGCAGTTGCTGTTTTAGTATTTTTAACTTTGCAAATTAATCAGATGTCTTTTCTAACAAACACATTTATGAAGACTAATCACATTTATATCAAAACTTATTTACACATTTTTAATTTAGTTTGCCCATGAAAACCAGGGTATCATATAAGTCTAGTTAACACTTGAAGTCGGTTATTCCTACAAAGAAAAATCCTTAAGAACAATGGAAATTGAACTTGAAACATTTATAGAAACTAAATTTTCTTGATTGGCTGGTCAGCTAGAAAAGCTTGTGGGTTAATAGTTTAAAAGACATCTTTACTCTTTATCTATTTAACCAATTTAAATTAATTTTTTTTCTTAAAGATTTATATTTTAAAAGACTTGTACACTTGGAGAAAATGAATACATCTCACAGTTACAAAAATCATTTGAATCCATTTTTAAAAAAATGTATGAACTCTCATTTACTTATATGCCAATTTTGGTACCATGTAAATGATAAATAGACAAAAACACATATGTAGGCATACAATACAAGAGTGTGCACAAATATACATAAAAACCTACAGGGAATAAAGATTTTATAACTTTTCCTTGAATAATTGAGTAAAAGACAGCAGGAAAGACAGAGGGCTAAATATTCCAGTTAGACAAAACAAGACTAATTGGAATGCAATATTCATTTAGGTGTGCAGGTCCAAATGTAAATTCACCATAAAAACAATGAGCTCAGAGAAGACTGATGTTCTGAAAGAAAAGAAAGAACGAAAGAGAGAAAGAGAGAGAGAGAGAGAGAGAGAGAGAGAGAGAGAGAGAGAGAGAGAGAAACGATATAGCCGTAATTACTTGAGGAAAGGAGAATATGGAACATCTATCCAATCAGAGTGCACTTTTGGATCAGATTAGAGTAGTCCAGATATTTAAAGAATGTAAGGTTCCATGAGGAAAAAGTTTTTCCTCAGGAAAAAGTTCTCAAGGAAATGGAGACTTGTCTCCATATAAGGATCTTTCCATTTCTCCAGTTATAGCATTTGTTTTCTCCTTTTTCCTCCCGTGGTCCTTTGGCCTGTTGTTTCTTATGGTATCTTGAGTGGGGTTCTTTCTTTACCTGATTTTCAGGACCTGTTTTTCTTTGGTTACTTGTTCTATGATGGAGAGCATAATTTTTTATCCTCATGTCCCTTTTCTCTTCATCCCTTTTTTCATAAACTTTTTGAGCTTCCCTCAATAATTTCTCTAAACTTGTAGCCTGCCAATTTTCTAATTTCTGTACTTTTCTTGCAGTATCAGGCCAACCATTAGTCACAAAAGGTAGCTTTAACATTTTTTTTGCCCTAAGTGGTCATCAACATATAATCCGGAATATTTTCTCATCTCTTCCTTCAATCTATTTGAAAATTCTGTTGACCCTTCATTTCCTTCTTATATTATATCAAAAGCCTTGCCTATGTTTTGGGATTGAGGGACTGCCTTCCTTGTTCCCTTTACAATTAAATCTCTAAGATCTCTCGGGTGTCCCCTATGTATTTAATAATCATTATCTCAGAGGGGCTCTTGATTTGGGAATTTTACAGCAGCAGGTAGGAAGAACCTCAGATCCGGCTGGATGTTCACATCCTCAAGCTGCTGATGCTTCTTTGGGAATCTATTCCTCACTCCTTCAGTGTTATTCAATATGGACATAAGCTTGATCTGGGCGTAAAGTTGGGGGTTGTGGACTTGGTTTAATTGATCTGCAACCTCATGTGGGTCTTCCAACACATACTGTAGTTCCAGTTTAAGTTTTTTTTTTTTTTTCAAATCAGAGCTAGTTAAAGTATAAACACAATTTCTCCCCCTCCCAGAGGAACCTCACATTAAGGAAACAGGGTGGATAGAGGAAGGAAAGGAACCAGATTTCTTCTCTCCCTGGGGAAAGGGGAACTTTGAGTATCCTGTTTGCATTGTTCTAATTTTTTTTTTTCCATTTGTCTAGGCAAGGAAGGATTCCAGGCGCTGGGGAGAGGTAGAAGTCCCTGCTTGGGCTCTGGTTTCTCTCTGCCCTCTTCTGAAACCTTCCTGGGGGAAGACAAGTTAAGGGATCCCATTCATTTGAGGCTTCCTTCCGAGTCTCTCTAGTTTTGTCCTCATTTTTAGTAAATTTAAGAGGAAAGAGGACTACAAAGAACATACTCTATCTCTGCCTGGCTACCAGACATTTTATCATTTACATATTCTCTCAATAATAGAAATTTGCAATCTGCTTCTGCCCAATCTTTGGCCAAACTCCTGAAGGCTTTAAGATAGGTTCCTGAGCCCAAATGAAATAACAGTATTTTTTATCATTTTTGCCCCACTCCCACCCTAGGACTATCATTCCAATATTTTAACACAAGACCCAGGAAGGCTTCATATTTCATAGTAATATTTTAAATTCACACTAACTCTACAGGATTTTTACTTAACTTTTTTTTCTCGTCTCCCCTTTTCTCTTACATGGAAAAAATCTTAGTTTCTAGCAACATAAAAATAATTATTTATTTGCTTTATCTTATGTAAAGACTAATTTAAATCTACCAATGTCAAATAAGGGCACTCAATTAAGTTAAAACAATATTGCAGCTCCTTTTTTCCAAAGAATGTATTCTGTGAAGAATTTACCAAGAACATGCTTTGAAGGTAAACTG